CCCATCAACCTCCATAGTCAAGGAACCGGTAGACACATCGATTTTTGTTTTAGCAGTCTTCAGGAAAGGTCTTCCTAACAAGATGGGGACTGCTTGTTTGTCATGTTCCATGTCAAGCACATAAAAGTCAGCAGGAAAAATCAAACCATCAACCTTAACCAACACATCTTCCACCACCCCCTTAGGATACACATTAGACCTATCCGCTAACTGAATCACTACCCCAGTTCCATGTAAAGGTCCAAGTTTTAAAGATTTAAACAGGGAATATGGAATAACATTAATTGATGCACCCAAATCCAACATAGCTCTATGAAAAGTGGTGTCCCCTATTGTAACTGGAACAGTAAACATACCAGGATCACTACATTTTTCAGGAAGTTTCTTTTGGAAAACTGCAGAAACATGAGCACTCACTTTCACTTTTTCCTTCCCTCCTAACCTGTGCTTCCTCTTTATAGTACACAGTTCTTTCAAAAACTTAGCAAAACGAGGAATACTTTTAATCACATTCAAGAGGGGAATATTTACCTCACATTTGCTAAAAGTCTCATAAATATCCTTGTCTTTCTCATACCTTCGAGTATCTTGCAAGGCTTCAGGGAAAGGTGGTGTGGGTTCATAAGAGGGAAAAGTTGGTGGATTCGCCACAGCTTCATGTTCTACTTCTTGCTCTTCAGTTCCAATCAAGTCTTTAGCCCTCTTAGTTGCAACTGCAGTTTCTTGCAACTCTTTGCCATTTCTCAATGTTATTGCATTGACCTGTTGCTTAGGATTCAGCTCCGTTTGAGATGGAAGCTTTCCAGAGTCCTTAGCTTCAAGTCGGCTCACTGCACTTGAAATTTGGCTCACTTGACTTTCCAAATTCTGAATACTGGATTTGGTTTCTTGCTGGAATTGCACCATGTTTTGCTGCATAGTAGAAACATTAGAAGTTAGTGATCTAATCATTTCTTCAGTTGACATATTACTCGAATTTGAGCTTTGGCCTTGAGGTTTGGCTAATGGTGCCCTATATTGCTGATATTGCTGCTGGCCTTGAGCATTTTGCTGTTGTTGTTGGTTCCCCTGGGAATTCCCATATCTCAAATTTGGATGATCCCTCCATCCTGGATTGTATGTATTCGAATATGGATCATATCTTCTCTGAGGACCTTGCCCTTGGAAACCCATTGCATTGGCCTGCTCATTCTGTTCCTCTTGTAATTGAGGACATGCATCAGTGGGATGTCCTGTGGAGGTGCATAAACCACAAGCATTCAGTTGCTGTGGATTCCTTGAGTTCACCATGAACTCACGCATCATAGAAGTCAAATCAGCTACTTGACTCTCTAACTCAGTTGTATTTGAATTTGCTGCATTCACCCGGCGCGTGGGAGTTCTCTGACTGAACTGCCTAGAATTCTCTGCTAGCTCTGCAATCAGCCTAGTTGCATCTCCTGGAGTCTTATTCACTAGCCCTCCACCACTTGCTGCATTCACCATCCTCAAATCATCATCTGTTAGACCTCCATAGAAGTATAGGATGAGGTCTTGATCGGAATACCCATGGTACGGACAACTAGCACACAATCTCTTGAATCTCTCCCAATACTCATACAAGGACTCATCCTCCTTCTGATCCACATTGCTGATAGCTTTCTTAAGGCTTGCAGAAATAGTGGCTGGGTAATACTTCTCTAAGAAACACTTCTTCAAACCTGCCCAATTTGTTATGCTCCCTGGGGGAAGATAGTAAAACCAATCCTTCGCTGCATCTTTGAGAGAAAAAGGAAATGCTCTCAACTGAATTTGCTCATCAGTCATCCCAATCGGTTTCATGCTAGTACATACCACATGAAATTCTGCCAGATGTTTATTTGGATCTTCACCCTTCATGCCATGGAATGCCGGCAATAGATGAATTAGACCGGATTTGATCTCAACATTAGTACCTTCCTCCAACTGCTGGTATGCAATGCACAACGGTTGTTGGTTCAAGTTGGGAGCTGTGAGTTCCCTTAGAGTTCGATTGTCAGCCATCTCCTCTTCTTCTTGAATATTGAAGGAGTACGTTGATTCACTGGGGGTTGTTCTTGCCTCTTTTCGCAACCTGGAAATATTCCTTTCAATTTCTGGATCAAACTGCAAAACTTCTTTGTTAGCAGAACGGGTACTTATCATACCCTAGCGAACAAACAAAGAAAAATAGCTAAGAACAGTCCTAAAATAAATTCTACTAAGATAAACAATTAAAAAGTAACGCCTTAATTCCCCGGCAACGGCGCCAAAATTTGGTGTGCCTCAGTCGTATGCAACCAAAAATATCACAACTAAGCTAACTGCAAATAAACGTAGTTAGGGAAGTCGAGTTCGAATCCACAGGGAAAAAGGGACTAATAACTGGAAACCTAAGTGGAAATACCCTAGGACGGTAGTAACCTAAGTAACGAGGGGGGTTTTCACGAGCAATGATGATAAATGAACTAAGTAAGAACAACGAACGTAATGAATAGGTAATCAATGAGAAGAACGGTCTTGGTTATGCGAAATCCACTAATGAACATACAAATTGATCATAGAAGTCTCCTCAATCAAGCTCTATTGAACACCTTGTTGTAGAATTCCTAGATTCTAAATTCTCATAAATAGTTAGAAATAGCAAAGCGCTCCTTTCTAACCCTTTCCAATGCACAATTCAAGACAAGCGCTCTAAATTATCCACAAGAAGAAAATAAACGGAGAAATCAACAAGGATTGAATAAATTAACACAAGCGGTCTAATTTCTTCAATAATATTATTCCCTCTTCAAGTTATCAACCAAAAGCATGCATCAATAACCTAAAGTTGCTACTTTGGAAAGATTAATTAGATGCAAGCGAATCCAATAATTCTAACCTAGCAATTGATTAAAGCAAATCATGAAATTAATTCAAGGAACAATATATATTCAATAGATATTAAGAGAAGAAAGATCTCACAATTCGTAGCCAAAAGCTTCAATCTTTAACCAAGAATCCGGAAGATTAAGCTTCCATGGATTCTAATTCCAAAACAAAGAATTCTGAAAATTCCAAGAAAACCCTAGAAAGCTTTTTTCTCAAAACTTAATTCTCCTTCTTTTTTTTTCAAACTTAATTAAAACTAAGCTATTTATATGTTTCTATATTTTAATAACATAACACAATAATAATAATAAAATAATATCCAAAACACGAGCCAAAACAAAGCCAAATTGCTGAAAATTAACCAAAACAGCCCGAATTTCTGCCAGAGCCGCTGCCAGCTGCTCTGGACCCGCTGGCAGCTGCTCTGGCAGCCCCTCACTCTGGTATACCCGCTGCCAGCGGCTCTGGCCAGCTGCCAGCGGCCCTGGCAGCGGTTCCTGCTGTTTTTTGCCTTCTTTCCTTGCTTCTTCTTCTTGCTTTGCTTCACCTTTTCCTCAAGCTTTCTTCCTTGCTCTTCCATGCTCCATCACAACTCTCAAATCACGAGCCAAGGTCCATCCTTCTTACATAACTCTTCATTGGTTCCCGAGCTCACTCACTCACTTATACTCATAAATCCCGCCTTTTGCACATAAGTGAGATCACAGCCCAAAACTCACAAAAGCTAACAAAAGTACATATAAAGCATCAAAACACACCCTAAAATGCTTCTCTCAACCCATGATAAGAAGGCTTATCAAACACGAACATAGATATGCTCGTTCACATAAGTTCATGAACAACTCGTGTATTTATGTTTGCAAGCTACGCGTTTATTCATATTCATGAATTATTGATTTATTCACAACTGTTAATTTTATTCTTAAGTTTTTTTTTATTATTAACATTTAATTCTTAGGTTTATTGTTTATTATTAAAATTTAATTAATATGTTAATTTTGAGATTTTCAAATGTCAAAAGTACAAGGCTCGTTTATTAGAGAAATTCATTTATCACTAAGTTCGTTTATCAACTCGTTTAATAAAGAAGCCATTTACAAACTGTTTGTGAATATGTAGTGTATTAAATGAGCTGAGTTTGAACAGATTTTTGAACTTGCTTGAAACCTCGGGATCATGCTCAGACTCGCCTGAGTTACATAAATTTGAACATAAACAAGGTAGTACTCGGCTCGGTACATTTAAACCCCTCCTAACTGTACTTCTAACTTTTGGTTCTTCCTTGAGATAGCTTAGGGAAACCATTAGCTGCTTTTAGTCACTTTACGTATTTCCTATTATTAGGAGACCTTCAACAATCTTGTATCTTTCCTTTTTAAAAAAGTGTATTGACATTTTGTTTGGTTTTATGCTACTGAGATATTGTCAAGTAAAAACTTAATTATGATTTATGATCTAATTTTGTATTTGAACATTTCCTTTTTTTTTAAGGACACCAATCTCCAACCAGTCTTTCTTATTTATTTGATTATTATTTACTACTTAGCCATGTTGTTAGACCCATGTACGTTTGATCCTCCTCTTGCAATATACTCCCTCCGTTATGATTTAGTCGCAACAAAGGGGTGAATTGCGGACCTAGGCAAAACTTTTAAGTGGGTGGATTAAAGGTGAATTGCAAACCAGTCTTTCTTATTTATTTGATTATTATTTACTACTTTGCATCTTTTTTGTATCCCTCCAAACATTTCAACAAAATTTGAAAACATTTCAAACTTAATTCAAAATTTTCCCAATAACCCTATTTTACAAACAAACAATAGCAGCAGCTGAGAAAACCTGTTTCATTACATTAACTTTGTCCAAAATTCTAAGGGTCGGGAGGGGGAGGAAAATCAACTTCCATTGTTAAATTACAGACCAGAAATTAAAGTGCCATTGTTTGCAAATTACACAAAAACTATCTTCAACTGAAATTAGTCCTAATTTCTAATTGCTGAGTTAGTGGCAGCATTAGTTATTTGTACAGAATCAGGCTCCATTGAAAGCTCCAAAAAAAAAGTAAGACACCTCCACTTCATCACCTACCATCTCATCTGGAAAAAAAAAAAAAAAAAAAAAAAAAGGGACTCATGGAAGAGGAGTTTGATGAATTTTTCAACATCAACCAACTGCTCATGGAGCAGAACACAGACATGCAAGAGGATTCCAACAGTTCAAATTCAATGTCAGACTCAACTGAATCAACAAATCAGCAACAAACTGAATCAATAGAGACAAGGGACTCAGAGTTAGAGGCAGATGAGGAACAACATGTACCAAACAATGCAAGGCAAAGCAGAGCGTTGAACATCCAAGAAAAAAGGCAGATAGTTAATGATATCATGCTCAATGTGGAAGGGGACTCACTTCCAAGAGGAGTTCTGTCCATTGGCAAGAAAACATGGTGTACACAGATCCACCATGTAATATCTCGTATTTTTATACGTATTTTTAATTAAAATAAGTATTTTGAGAAGTATTTAATTAAATTGAATTATTTTATTTAAAGTATTTTAATTATTTATCTTAAATAATTTTGGAAACATTTATAAAAGGAAAGTTTATTTAATTAATATAATTAAGTTGGGGTTTAATTTAAGGAAAATTTTATGTTAGTAAAGTTTTATTAGGGATGGGATTAGGAAAATTAAAAGAAAAAAATTAGGGAAAAAGGGTTTGTAGAGAAGAGGTATAAATATCCCACATATGAGGCAAATCAACTTTGCCCAGAGTGGAGAAAACCCAAGGTAAACTTCTCTCTCCTTTCTCCTTATTTTCTTTCTACTTTTTTCCCCTTCCCCTTTTCTTTTTTTCGGCTGCCCTCTTCACCACCACTGCCGACCACCGATAGCAGTTGGCCGCCCGCCGCCAACAGGCAGCCACCGGCGCTGGCAGCCGGCGTGGTGGTTGTCGCTGCTTTCTCTCTCCCCCTTTTTCTAACATATATAAAATTAAATAATAAAAAAAATTAAATCTTTATTGTTAAAAACTAATCTATGCCTAAATCTAATTGTTAATTATGAGTTTTGGGATTTGATTTTGATGTCTGTTTATAAGTATTAAGCCCCAATTTTTGAAACCCTGGGTTCTTGATTTGTAAATTATTGAACGGTCATGATATATAATGGTTTAGACCTTTGATTAAAGTGTTTTAAGGCTTAATTACAACAAGTTGTAATTAAAATATAGTGCTAGAATTTTTAGTAGAGCATTTAAAATCAAGTTTCTTTAAGGAATTTTAATTATTCATTAATTGAGATTAAATTATGATGTTTTAAATATAATTTCAACTTATTTTAATTAAATTATGAGGGGTTTTATAATAGTATATATTGCTGGAAATTTGTGTAGAGTGGATTCTATAATTTTAAATTGTAGGAGACTTTGAAGTGAGTGATTTTTATTAGTCGTGGCGATTCTAAGATCGTATACAAGGTACGTTAGTTCGCATACTTAGTATAATTATATTAATATAATAGCATGCTAAATGTTTAATTGATTACAAGTAGTATCATGCTGGGTTTGGATTGGAAATTGTGATTTGAATGTTATTGGTGATTAGTTTATGAAGCATGATTTATTTGTGATGGATTATTGAACGGAAATTAATAGTTTGGAATATTATTAGTGAACCATATATTTATTTATGGCATGTTAGAGAGCATGTTTAATTTGGTTTGAAATATTGAAAAGGAATTTTATTATGGTTCATATAATTTTTATTGATGCTATGAGCATGAGGAAAGATCTATATAAGTGCATGTACACGAGGAATAAATTATATGTTGGTGCCTTAGTGAACTTAAGGTGTTTTTAACACCGAGGAATAGGATTTGTGGCGTTTTATGCATTTAAGGTATCATTGGTACCAAGGTAAAATTAAAAAGGATTCAACATTAAATATTATGTGGTCACTATTATTCAAGAATTTAATTGGTATGTTTGATTGTTTGAATAATTATTGTTGATTGGATGATTATAGTTTGAGAGTCATCACCAAGTTTAATAATCTGTAAATAACGTAAAGTGAAAGAGATTACGCACCAAAACTCTTGGAACGTATATACCTTGAGTATAAACATATGGGGGGGGGAAGTTATGTGACTTTATATTTAATCATAACTTCTATTGGAGTACATGATGCTGTAAATTCCTTTTATTATTATTATGCACAAGAATTCTGCCACTTACGAGTGGTTATTGATGCTGGAATGGTTAGTTCTCGTGTCAGTAACCTCAATTTATTTGGGGGAGGTTGAGTGGGAAACCTGTTCGATGCATAGTCAACATTAAATAAATTATGTAGTGTATAGTGAGGACTTTTATTGAATGTTGTATGCTTGAAAAACAGGTGCAACGAGGTAAGTTGTGTGTTGATAGGAAATTTTATGTTAGTGTGTAAAATACGCTTATGTACTCAGCTTTGTTGATTGTGTGTTTTGTCTGTTTGTTGGCCTTATTTTTATCTTGGCCCTATGATGACCCATTTTTAATGGAGAGCAGTGGAAACAAGTAGAGATAAGATTTTCAGGTGATGAAGCATATTCATAAATGGGCATGAGTGAAGAGCAAATCATGCTGGTTTCTAAGTATATGAATGTGTTATTGTTTTATTTATTTATGACTTATTTATTTATATGTGACTAACGGAAAGGGTTTTGAGTTCAGTTTTGTTTTAATAAGGGCCTACAATGGTTCCAAGTTGTAGGTTCATTTTATTTTATTTCGTTTGACTTTGGTTTGAATTTACTTTCGTTGTTTGACTTTCAATGTTGACTTGGTTTGAAATGTTTTGAAATTAGTCTTCCGATGTGTGTGTTTGATAGTTGCCTTAACCGTTATCATGGTGGTGGTAATGTCTTAGATATTCCTATTTAAAGTTTTAAACAGGGCAAAATAGGTATTTTAAAGGAAAGGAATTTCTAGGGTGTTACACACAACAACAAGATGGTTTCAAGAAATTAAAAAACACATTCAACAGGGGGATGTTGTGGATGTCAGGAGCAAAAAATTAGGCAAGATAGGTAGAAAGCCTAAGGAATACTCTGATGAGTGGCTTATGTCTGTGCCTCTGTACAAGAGAACCACAAACAGAAGTTATGGTGCAGCTCTTAATGTCCATCATGTCATCATACACAGGTTAAAGAAAAAGGGAAGACTTAGGTCTGTCACAGTAACCAATCACTCAACATTAAGTGATAATTACAAGTTAGCAAGGCTAAAATGGGTGCTTCAGCACATTAATCCTGTTCCAAGTGAGGGAGACCCAACATTTGGGGATATGCAATACTACATCCACATTGATGAGAAGTGGTTCTATCTGAACCCAAAGACAAGGACCTTTTATCTAACACCAAACGAAGAGGTACCAGTGGCGGATCCAGGATTTTCGAACTTATGAGTCACCATCAATAATTGATCACTTGTTTCAATCCAAAAATTATATAAAAAAAATTATATTTCGCCAAAATGATTTCAATCCAAAAATAGGATATAAAAATACATACTATAAAACTATTACATTAAACTAACTTTATGATTTTTTTACTTAAAAACAAGAATTATTAAAAAAAAAGTTAGTTAACTATAGACACCCATTTGTGTCTGAAAGGAATGGTGTCCTTCGAACAAGTGTACTATTCCGTTAGTGGGTTCAGAATTATTAGAAAGCTAATATATTCAGTGAGGTCAAGTGATCGAAATGCCTGGGTGGAGGCTGCTTCCGATCAGTAATATTAATGAATAATTAATATTACAACTTAATCTTGACTGAACCCTTCGGGTCACACCCAAGCATTCAACAAACCGAACTGATGAATTAATTCGGAAGGAATTAATGAGTCGACCAAGTAATATTTATTTAGACGTCGGAAATTCGAGCTTAGAGCGTCGAAACCGAGCATCGAAAGTCGAGTCGAAAAATAGTGAAAGACGAGACGAGAAATAGTAATAAATCAACAAAAGACAAAAATACCCCTAGCATTGGAATGCCCATGCAAACCGAGTGCTAAGGGCGTATGGCCTAGCATGGTGGCTAGCATGTGCACCAAGCCGAGCCTAGGCCGGCTGGTGCGTGCTAGCGCACCCATGCTAGCATCGTAAGGCTAGGCGCTGCCTAGTGCGTGCTAGCATGCTAGGCACAGCCTTGTGCGCGCAATGGCTAGCAAGTCATGCCGCAACAAGCTGCAGGAGCTAGCACGCTAGGCGCGCCAGCTCGCCACAGCATGGCTAGGCCATTGCTTGCTGCCTAGCAGCGCTAGCCAAGGCACAAGGCCAGCAGCAGCCCGCACAAGCATGCTGGGCTTGCTGGCTAGCAGCGCCTGGCAGCCCGCATGCGAGTGCTGGGCCTGCTGGGCTTGCTGGGCGTTGCTGCCACTTGTTGGTATCACATGGCAACCCACCTTGGCTGCCTTGGTGCCCAAGGGTGGGTGCCATGTGGCTTGTGGTCCTTGAGTGTGTGTGGAGTGAGGTAGCCGGTTATGGGAGAGGGAGTGGGGAGCAAGTTTGGTCCCCCCCTTCTCCAAGTGGTCCTCACCTAACCACTCACATGAGCTTGCCACTTGTTGATTTATTACTAGCTTGATTATTAATTTTATTTTAGCTTTAAAATAAAATGGAAAATTCATACTATCCCACATTGATGGGAGAGTAAATGATACTCCCATCATTTCCTATAAATACCCAAGTATAGGCATTGGGAATGATGCTTGAGTAAGAGTTGGAAAAGGCATCACAATTAGTGAAAACCTTTGAACTCAATATAATTACTCGGGTTTTATTGGTCGGGTCTTGCTAACCCCAAGACATTGGACCTAGTCGGTTTTGTTGGTGCGGGTGGACTTCGTTGGAGGTCTCCGTCTGAGCGGGACTTGAAGCTTTCAAGTAAGAGCTCATTTTGGAGCGAAGCTCGCGTCAAAGGTAATTAGCTTATCTTAATCTTGTGATTAATTTAATTATGTTTATGGTTTTATTTATTGCGAGTGCGGTCTTGTTTTTGGGTTTGTTTCCGCGGTGAGTCGGACTCACCAAACCCCAACAGCGGTATCGGAGCCTCGCTCGTTTATTTTTAAAATCATAATATTTTCAAAGTGGTTTTATGGCTTAATTTTTTCTGGTTTTAAGTTGCTAATTAGATTAGTAACTCGTTTTTCCAATTTTTACCTCGTATTATAGCTGTCTTCAGCTCCCGAACCCAGATTTCGACCTAAAAATAGTAACTTTTGGGTGGAAAAGGCGTTCTGGAAATGGTTTTACCCTTTCAGGACTAGGTTTTTAGCCAAAAAACGACCAGAAATGCATTTTTCGAGGGATTTTTCATTTTGACGAAAAATTTTAGTCTTTCTAACCTTGAAAATTAATTGCATATTTATGGTGGTTATGTATTTGGTTCTTTCCTTTATTTATATGCAATTTTAGACCACTTTAAGCATGATTACTTGGTAGTAATTGGTGCTTGAAAGTTTGATTTTATTTTTTCACATAATTGCAAATTAATTGCATTAAGTGTGAAATTGTTGTTCTTTGTTGCTTCCAAGTACTAAAGATTCAATCTTTATTTATGATAAGTGATTGAAACTTTGAGTTACTAAATTCCATGAATTTTGGTTAAACTTTGTTGATTTAATCATTTTTAGTTGATTGGAATCATAAAGTTTAAAACTTGTGATCGAAATTGGTTTATCTTCATATTGGAAGATATAATTTTTTCATGGAGTTACAATTATTAAAGTTGGGGTCTTTATTGAACTTATGTTCATTTTTCCAACTCCCTTTTATTTTGTCAAAATCTCAAGATTAATTTAAAGTGATTAAATGAATAGTGAGAATTGCCCTAATTTATTTTATTACACCAAGTTAAACCAATTTTATTAAAGAATGGTTTTTGGAAATAAATTTGGTTAATTGCATTTGGATGAATTATTTAAGTTGGACTTGTTATTTTTCATTTTTCCTCAAAATTGATTCTAAAATTAATTTAGAATTGATTTATAATGTCACACAAAAAAATCGATAATTTTCGAAGCATTAGCACGCAACACGAGGCTTAAGAGCCCCAAGCTAGCTCTCGGCCAGCTGGGCTGCTCACGCAACCCATATGTGGCTGCCGAGGCTGCTGGGCACTTCGTTCTTAGGTGCTTGGTGTTGTGCGTGTGTGTGTGCGAGGAAGGGCGTGGGCTGCTGCTCGCTGCAAGCAGCAGCATGGCGCAGCAGCAGCATAATACTGTGCGCGCTGTGCGTGCTGCTACGCTTGGCTGGGCTGGGCGTAGCGCATGCGAGCACAAGCAGCCCACATGCATGCTTGGTGTTGCGGGGGTGCACATGGGCATACTACGTGCTTGTTGTACGGTACGTACAATCCCATAATTGGCACAATAACCCCGGGTTATTAAGGCGATGCTATTTTAAAGTTCGCCCTCCTCTGTTCGAAATTATTACAGGTCCCAATTGATTGAACAACTGGATCATTGGAGTTATCGTGTTATTAGTCTAGGATTTATCTTGCTTAATATGTAAATAAGGGTATTTTTTTTGGACTCCAAGTCTTAGTGCTAGGCACTTAGACATTTTGGAATTCGTATTTTGCTTAAATTGTCGTTTTAATTATTTTAATTATTTTGTTTATTTAATTAAAAATTTTGGAGGCCAGGCCTCGAGTTTTGAGCGACATTTGCAAAATTAATTTTGGCAAATATTTGGGTTCACCGACTTAATTAATTGGATTAGTTAAGTTGGATGCGGAATTTAGTGGGAGCGTCTCTAAGTTATTACCATAACCGGTTAAAACAACTTTGACTAGTTTAATTAGGCGTGTTAATTGGATTAACCACCTAGATTAGTTACTAGTTCTCGCGCGTTTTATGCATTGTTACTTGTTTATCGTTTAAAATGCATGGGCCATTCATAGATAGTGAATGGATGAATGGAATGTAAATTCTCTCGCAGGTTTTATGAAATGGCAACTAGTGGGGGCCGATTAGGATAGAAAATACGGACTATGATCCGTGATGAATTTTTGTAAATCTAAATACGGTCTGCGAACCGTTGAGTATTTTTGTACCTTAATATTTAGATTAGTCCTAATCGTAGATACTAGCAATTGTAATATTTTGGTCAAGTCTTGAAGACGGGGTTCTTAGAAGACAAAGCCATGAAGTTGCAAATGAAGACCTTTTGAAGACTTGAAGATCTCAAGGGGTCATGCTAGTTGCCAAATGCATCTCTATTTATGTTTTCGATATATATATTTATGTATATATATATATATATGAATTATATGTTAGATGCATGTTTAGGATTTCGAATGTTGAGATGATTAATTAAGTTCACTTAAATCAACCAACATAGAAACCCTAGGTCCCTAAAATATTGAGTAAAACTTGCCATTCCAAAACACACTTACCAACCGAACGAGGGTAGTGGTGGGCTACGCCAAAGCGAGGCATCACTACTTCTCCAAGGAACGTAAGGCATACCGGGTATGCAAGGTGGTTTTGGTTATACTCAACGATATGAGTGATGGAGTCCTACCATGTCGTGGAAAAGTGAATAAATTGTTTAGAGAGCATTGGATGCGATGATTTATTCAACCAAGAGTAGCTTGGAGCCATTAGCAAAGCGTTGCTTACCTTAGGAGATTGAGTGTTAAGACAAGCCAAAGCATGCTTAACCACTCTTTGTTTCTTTGGATCTTGGAATCGACTTATTCTCACCTAAAATGGGGACAATCTTTAATGTGTGAATAAGACGTTTTAAATAAGTTTGATTAAAATGCATGAATTCAATCTTATTTAAGTATAATGAATGGTTTTTTATTTCAAATTCTTTCAATTGTAGAATCATGTCTTCAACTAATGTCAACGACCTTATGCTCCCGGAATTGCCCGAAAAGTTGCCAATTTCTCTAAACTTGGTAAACTTTAAGGAATGGGAAGAGGAACTCCGAAAGACCCTCCGAAATTGCTACCTAGAGCACATTCTGGACACTCAAATCCCGAGTTTCTACTCAAAGGGGATTATGAGTGATGAGGCACATGAGGTATGGAGTGTGGATTGTAAAAGAGTTTCCAGACTCATGGCAAACTCCATTCCGGTACAATGGAAGGGGAAGTTCTCCAACTATTTTCCGGACATGATGCTCAAAGCTCTAGAAGATGTAGTCAATTTGAGAGTCACCAAAAGTACAAGAGGCAACTATGATGGACTTGTGGAAGATGTGACTAGGTCACTCTTGAACATGAGGATCAAGCCACCGCAAGATGGGTGTCTCACGAAAGAGAGACAAGAAGTATGGGCTAAGGTCTATAATGCAAGACTTAGACCCGGGATGCCACTTCAAGCTCATGTGCTCAACATGACAAGGCTATTCACCCATCTGGAGCTAATTGGCAAACCAGTGGACGA